GCCCGCCGGATCAGGGGGAGGCAAACATGGCGCCGACGGCGGGAGAGCACCTCTCCAACCCACCTAGCCCAGCTGCATCAGAGGCATCAGCAGCCCCTGCGGACCAAGATATAAAGGTCCTGCTTCAAAATCTCCCCTCCAAGGCAGACCTCGCCACCATGCTAGGGAAGCTGGAATCCTCCTTCCAACACAAGATGGAGGGTCTGGGAGCTGCAATCCGGCAGGTAGGCCTCCGTGTCCAAGACCTAGAGGGAGACAGGGGAAGGCTACAGACCCAAATGACCACCCTGACAGACCGCCTAGAAGCCCATGAAACTCACATGTCTCAGCTCCAAAGATCGCTGGATGACATAGACAACAGGGGGCGCAGGAACAACCTCAGAATTAAGGGTCTACCCGAAAAGGAGGCTGAAAACATACCAGCATCACTGCAAGAATTGTTTAATTTACTATTAGAGAAACCACCATCAACACCGATCCACTCTGACAGAGCACACCGCTCACTCAGACCCAAAGGCAATAACAGGGACGCCCCGAGAGATATCATATGCCGCCTGCACTACTTCGCAGACAAAGACCGAATACTGAAGAAGTTAAGAGATACTACTCCGCCGCTACTGTTCCATGGGCACGAGATCCAGATTTATCAAGACCTCTCATGGCTCACCCTCCAGGCAAGGCGTCAACTGAAGCCGGTCACAGACCAACTGCGCACTAGAAACATCAAATATCGTTGGGGCTTTCCCCTAGCCCTCATTGTCACGCTCAAAGGGACCAGCCACATCATAGCAGAACATAAAGACGTGATACCATTCATAAGAGCGCTGAAACTTACTGAGGTACGCATAATGGACTGGTATGCCATGGACCCAGCGCAGTCCCTGGCTCAACACCCAGGGGAACAAAGACGACGCTCACCTCCCAAGAGGCAAAGAAGGGGATCCTCGGACGAGCATGGAAGAGGGGATTTCCCGACAGCGCAGAGGACGTAAAGGAATCACAACGACGGCTAGGCCTCCACACAGAGGAATCAAGCAACTAAAGACGACCACACCGCACAAACAACCGGGGGAAAAAATAACTTACACGAAACCGCTAACTACAATAGGCTCCTGATACACCACACCAGGCCCCAGCAGAATCGCTCCACCACCTCACCACCGCAGAGCGACAACATGAGATGACTCGCAGACACTGCCGCCGGGGACACGCAAGACATCAAGCGGAGCCTGTCACTGGGACTTTATTTACCAGCCACCCCTCACAACCACAAAGAGACGAAAAAAAGACACTCACAAACCAGGTCGTATGGTATATGTTTACTGTTTAGGTTTTGGGGTGCAGTAGCACTTAGAGACACAGGCTGCCTGCTACCCCCCGACTACACGAAGGGGAGACATAGCTGAGGGCCGCTGGCCACATCCCCACACACATACAAAGATACATCAGAGAGTGGTGAAACAACCAACACATTCCAAAAAACAAACAAAAAAACACCAATATCTCTGATCTCAACTGAGGTCGTAAAGACACACCCACCAAGGGAACCTAGCCTACACTCTTCCAACACAACATACCCCATAAAGAAAACTGAACTTAGGTTCAACCCCAGCTCCAAACGAACATGACAATTGCAAGTGCCTGCTTGCCCACCGACACACGCATGCCACACACCAACGACACAGCACACACACCCCAGCAGCCACATCAGCTGCACCATCATCGCCACACCACACACTGCCTCAGGGCCGGTGACGCCTGCTGACACATCCGCAGTGTCACCTGCACCAGTGCAGGTTGAGATTGACCGGCACTTTACAGAGGCCCTAACACCCCAGCAATAGCATCGAACACACACAACCTAGACACACCGTACATTATAGTACTGATACGTCCGGACCTACACACCACCCGGATAGGGAACACCCACGCCCCCAGCCACCTCTGGCAGGGTGTAAGACCAGAGTTTTCATTTCTGTTTTTCATTTTTGTTTATGTATGTTTATGTTTATCTTTCAATTGCTAACGGTGTAATTTCCATCCGCAGTAAAGGTTTTTTGCGAAACGTCTCCACAGACGAGGACATACCACAAACCACTGCTGCTGCTGCCTGCGGCTCGGGCCAGGGGGGTTCAACCACGGAAAGTGGGAAACAGACCACACAACAAAGTAGGTGCTCACACAAACACACCAACACACCTCTAGAGCCCCACCCCACAAATGGCCCTGAAAATTACCTCACTCAACGTTAAGGGGCTGAACACCCCGAACAAACGCAGGTTACTGTTAAGGGATCTGATATCACGCAAGACAGACGTTGCCCTCATACAAGAAACCCACATACCCAGAACAGCATTAGTAACCCTGAAAGACAGAACGGTGTAATTTCCATCCGCAGTAAAGGTTTTTTGCGAAACGTCTCCACAGACGAGGACATACCACAAACCACTGCTGCTGCTGCCTGCGGCTCGGGCCAGGGGGGTCCAACCACGGAAAGTGGGAAACAGACCACACAACAAAGTAGGTGCTCACACAAACACACCAACACACCTCTAGAGCCCCACCCCACAAATGGCCCTGAAAATTACCTCACTCAACGTTAAGGAGCTGAACACCCCGAACAAACGCAGGTTACTGTTAAGGGATCTGAAATCACGCAAGACAGACATTGCCCTCATACAAGAAACCCACATACCCAGAACAGCATTAGTAACCCTGAAAGACAGATACTTCCCACAGACCCACGAAGTGAGAGCGCTACACAAACGCTCCGGAGTAGCGATATTAGTGCACAAAAACTGCCCACTACAGGTGACAGGGACGTTAGCTGACCCAGAGGGCCGCTACTTCATAATAACAGGCACCATACACAATACAAAGATAAGAATCATTAATGTGTATGCGCCTAACATACCAGATCTCATCTATTGGGACACCCTCACGACGATAACGCTGAAAGGGGAGGGATTACGCTGGTGGGGGGCGACTTTAACGCCGTGCCAAGTCCGGCAATCGACAGAAGCACAAAAACAGGGTCACCCAGATCGCAAGGGAGGGGAGCACAGGACAAACTACTGCACACATTCCTCACGAACACGCAGCTCCTAGACCCCTGGAGGCTCCAGCACCCAGACACACGTGACTATACGTACTATTCGGCGCCACACGGCACATACTCGAGAATTGACCACGTCTTTCTCAACGGAGTAGGGATGTCCAAGCTCGTGCACACTGACATAGGAAGTATCACTTGGTCGGACCATGCGGACATATCAATCACATTAAACAAACTCAAATACTCCGCCACATGGACCTGGCGCCTTAACACAAGCCTATTAAATAGTGACTCAACATGCGAAGACACGCGTACCCTACTTACTGAATACTTCACTCAAAACACCACACCCTAGGTGAACCCAGTAGCGCTATGGGCAGCCCACAAAGCGGTCCTGAGAGGACACTTCATTAGAGCAGCAACATATAAAAAGAAACCTGAGAGCCCAAACCCTGATAGCAGGAGCCACAAAGACCCCTTTCCACCTTCATAGCGGTACACGCCAGGGTTGCCCCCTATCCCCACTGCTTTTCGCCATCTCCCTAGAACCATTACTACTAGCCATACGCCAACACCCACACATACATGGAATAAGGGTAGCAGGGAAATCCTTCAAAGTCTCCTCTTACGCGGACGACGTGCTGCTGACCCTCACAGACCCCTTGACATCCATGGAACATCTGACCAACCTTCTAGACAATTACGGATCTCTTGCGAAGTGAACCTGGTCAAATCCATGGCACTACCATTCCACATTCGGACCCAAGATAAAACCATAATATACGACAGATACCGACTACCCATCACAGCTAATAACATACCTTATCTAGGGGTCAAACTTACTGCACAATACGAACTCCTACACGACACTAACTACTCCCCACTGCTCCGCACACTCCTAAGAGACCTAGAGCAGTGGACAAACAAACCCATTTCATGGCTAGGACGGCTCCACTCAATTAAGATGAATATTCTACCCAGGTTACTATTCATATTCCAGGCCCTGCCCACACAGGTTAAAAGGAGCGACTTAGCCACACTACAAAAGGCAATAGATAGGTTCATCTGGCAAAAGAAATGACCCAGAATAGCCAGGAAACTCCTGTATAGACCCAAAAACAGAGGGGGACTGGGACTACCGAACATGTACCTCTACTATCTAGCAGCGCAGACAGCGCAAATAGCATATTGGCACTCCACACCGGACACGCGTCGATGGGTAAAACTTGAAACCTCACTAATGGGGCAAGATCTACCGCAATTCTACCCCTGGCTACACAGGACACATAGAGCAATCCCCAGAGTGACCTGCCCAGCAATAACGAACTCCCTAAGAATCTGGGATCTAACAGGTTCCCCTCGCCAATGTGTCCGGTACTCAGGAACCGATCCTTCCCACCAGGTATGACAGCGGGCGACTTTAGCGGACTCGAGAGAGCAGGCATCCAGAGATATTGCCACCTATATAACAATGGCCACGTAGTCACATACGACCAACTCAGGGAACAATCCCCCCTTACCACCAAAGACTTCTTCCGCTACCTCCAATTACGTGACTTTGCTAACTCAAAAGAAGTCAAGGAGATGGCCTCTCTCCCACTCACCTGGTTCGAAAACATATGCTACCAGGAAAAGCACCCCAGTGGACTAATATCGCTACTATACTCCCACCTTAGCGGGGAGACCAAGGAATGGGGGGAGCTGCGATACACAGACCAGTGGGAGACAGACCTGGGAGAGATATTAGAGGGCTCCGACTGGCAGGACATTTGGGAGGCCACGGCCTGATCATCAATATGTGTCACTCTTCAGGAGCAGTCATTTAAAACACTTTTTAGATGG